GCCTGGGTGACAAAGCAAGACCCTGTTGGAAAAAAAAAGTGTGGTCTTTGAAACAGTCAAGTTAGTATCACCTGGGTACTTGTTAAAAGTACAAATGTTCAAGTCCCACCTCAGACCCACTGAACCAGAAACTCTGAGGTTGGGACCTGGAGATCTTTGTTGTCCCCAGCTGATCCTGATGGGCTGCACTGCAAGGACACCTGGTCTGGCTCCTGCAAGCCATCCCTGTCTGCTTGCCTTTCTTCCTTCCTTTCCTTCCTTCCTTCCTTCCTTGTTTCTTTCTTCCTTTTTTTTTTTTTTTTTTTGAGATGGAGTTTCACTCTTGTTACCCAGGCTGGAGTACAATGGTGCATTCTCGGCTCACCGCAACCTCCGCCTCCTGGCTTCAAACGATTCTCCTGTCTCAGCCTCCCAAGTAGCTGGGATTACAGGCATGTGCCACCATGCCCAGCTAATGTTTTTTTTTATTTAGCAGAGACGGGGTTTCACCATGTTGGCCAGGATGGTCTCGATCTCTTGACCTCGTGATCCACCCACCTCAGCCTCCCAAAGTGCTGGGATTACAGGTGTGAGCCACTGCGCCTGGCTCTTTCTTCTTCTTCTTTTTTTTTGACCGAGTCTCACTCTGCCACCCAGGCTGGAGTGCAGCAGTTCAATCTCATCTTACTGTAACCTCTGTCTTCTGGGTTGAAGTGATTCTACTGCCTCAGCCTCCCAAGTAGCTGGGATTACAGGTGCCTGCCACCACACCTGGCTAATTTTTGTATTTTTTAGTAGAGACAGGGTTTCACCATGTTGGTCAGGCTGGTCTTGAACTTCTGACCTCAAGTGATCCACCTACCTCGGCCTCCCAAAATGCTGGGATTACAGGCATGAGCCACCACACTGAGCTCCTCTCTGCTTTTCTACCTCAGATCTCAGATGGCTCTCACCCAGGTGTGGTGGCTCATGCCTGTAATCCCAGCACTTTGGGAGGCCAAGGCGGGAGGATCACTTGAGCCCAGGAGTTTGAGACCAGCCTGGGCAACATAGGGAGACCTCATCTCTACAAAAAAGTCAAAAAAAAGGCATGGTAGATGATGGCACACATCTGTGGTCCCAGCTACTCAGGAGGCTGAGGCAGGAGAAATGCTTGAGCCTAGGAGGTCAAGGCTGCAGTGAGCTGTGATCGCACCACTGCACTCCCGCCTGGGCTACAGAGCCAGACCCTGTCTCAAAAAACAAACAAAAAACCTCCAGATGGTTCTCAGTACCACTGCCTCCTCCCACAGAGATAATCATCCCCCAGGTGGGTAAGAATTGGTCTCTCTGAACTTTCTGGGAGAGTAGGGGAACAATTCTAATGTGTTCTAGAAGATTCCTTGAAGTTCACCAGCACAGTTGAGCCCCAGTTGCCCAGGGAAGTGACCTGTTCCTCATCAACGCATCCTCTGTTAGCCTGTTAGCATCTGTCTCCATTTCCTTCTTCCCTTTCCCTTGCCCTTGTTTCCTAGGATCACCCCCAACATCAACTGGTTCCACTGGGGGATTTTTTTTTTTTTTTTCAGATGGAGTTTCGTTCTTGTTGCTCAAGCTGGAGTGCAATGGTGCGATCTCAGCTCACTGCAACCTCTGCCTCCCAGGCTCAAGCGATTGTCCTGCCTTAATCTCCCAAGTAGCTGGGATTACATGTGCCCACCACCTCTCTCAGCTAATTTTTTTTTTTTTTTTTGTATTTTTAGTAGAAATGGGGTTTCACCATGTTAGCCAGGCTGGTCTTGAACTCCTGACCTCAGGTGATCTGCCCGCCTCTGCCTCCCAAAGTGCTGGGATTACAGGCATGAGCCACTACACTGAATTCTAATCCCAGTCCTGTTCTTGGGATGGAATCCATGTCTTTCCCTCTGTCTCCACCACTTCTGTAGCAGCCCTGAAGCTTCTGCATCCTTTTTCTGAGTGTCTGAGTGACCAGTAGCCATTGTGCTCGGCCAGGAGCACTGATGAACTTTGCTAATGATCTGGAAAGGCGGGCCCTGGGGCTGAGTTAATTTTAGCTGCAATTTTTCAGTATATAAGTGGAAGGAGCCAAGAGCTATTCTGAAACGCTCAGCAGAGCTAGGGATGCCAGGGTAGAAGGACCCATAACCCCCTCCCAAGGTCACTTTACTCCTCCACTCAGATGGGGGATCCTGGGGGTGGCTTCCCCAGGATCTGAGGACCACTCAGGTTCCCCAGAACAGGGACATGCCCCCTTCAGACCACCCAGGCCAAGGCCCTGTCCCCTTTGGACCAGGGTTCCTGAAAGATCACATCCCCACATTTCTATAACCAAGTTCCGAAGCCAGGCTTGGAGATGGTCACTCACATCCCGCTTCCTGTGACATATCTGCCAGGAGAGCCTGGGACCCAAACCCAGCCTTCCCTCCCCGTTCTCTCCCAAGCGTCAGGACAGGCAGACTCCATTCCTGCAGAGTCAGGTGTTGCCGCAGTTACATCCAGAGTCTTCCGTGGCGTGGTGGACCTGAGTGGGGAGGGGAGGGGAAGATAATAGACACACTTCTCTGGGTCAATCTGGCCAGCCCCCTGTCTCTACTCCACTTCCTATCTTTTTCCTGCTCCCTAGCATATTTGGTCAATGGGTCTTTTTTCTTTTCCTTTTTTTTTTTTTCTTTTGTATTTTCAGTACAGACAAGGTTTCACCACGTTGGCCAGGCTGGCCTTAAACTCCTGACCTCATGATCCACCCACCTTAGCCTCCCAAAGTGCTGGGATTACAGGTGTGAGCCACGGCACCCAGGCTTTTCTTTTTCTTTTATTTTTTTATTTTTGAGACAGAGTCTCACTCTGTTGCCCAGGCTGGAATGCAGTGGCAGGATCTCGGCTCACTGCAACCTGAGCCTCTCAGGTTCAAGCGATTCTTTTACCTCAGGCTCCTGAATGGCTGGGATTACAGGTGCGTACCACCCCCCACACACCAGGTAATTTTATTTATTTATTTAGAGACAGAATCTTGCTCTGTCCCCTAGGCTGAAGTGCAATGGTGCGATCTCAGATCACTATAATCTCCGCCTCCCAGGTTTGAGAGATTCTCTTGCCTCAGCCTCCTGAGTGGCTGGAATTACTGTAGCTGCCACCACATCCGGCTAATTTTTGTATTTTTAGTAGAGATGGGGTTTCTCCATCTTGGCCAGGCTGGTCTCGAATACCTGACCTCAAGTGATCCGCCCACCTTGGCCTCTCAAGAAGCTGGGATTACAGGCGAGAGCCCCTGGGCCCGGCTGTCAGTGTGTCTTGAGGTCTATCCCTAATCCCAGATCGCACGAGTTTTCCCCCTTGCAGACAGAGAAAGGAGCCTTGGAAAGGAGCCCACCTGGCCTCAAAGATCAAGCCTGTTGCTGGGCATGGCCAGGTAAGGAAACTCCACCAGTGGAAAGGACATTCCAGGGAGGTGGTGCTGAGATAGGGGAGCAGAAAGAAACAGGTTTGGGGGCCGGTGGCTCTGGAATGAAGCGCTACACTCAAGGCTATGAATAGTTACTGAACGCACACACACACATATCCATTCTCACAGCCCAGGTGCTGCGTCTTAAAGTGTGTGTGTGTGTGTGTGTGTGTGTGCGCGCGCGCACGGACGAGCGCACGCAGGTTTCTAGCTCAGTTTCTTTCTCTGACTTGTCCTTATCTCTGGTCTCTCCAACTCTCTGTGTCTCGCACTCTCTGTGCCTTTCCATCTCTCGAATATGTGTGTGTTTCCATCTGTTTCAATCTCTCTCTGCCTCTTTCCATTCTACTCCTCTGCACATCAATCTAAGCCTGTCCATCTTTTTGTCTGCCTCTCTGGGTCTCTGTTCTTCTCTGTCTCTCTGTCTCAGTCTCTCTGTATCCAGGGATTCTCGTTCCCAGCAGCTCCAGGGCGAATCTATGGGAGGTGGGGCCGGGGCGCGCCTTTGAGAGAAGGGGCGGGTGCCTACGCCTTTAAGCGCGGGTGCGCGCGGAGCCTGCTCCTTTAAGCGCGGGTGCGCGCGCGGCCCTGGGTTCCCGGCGAGGAGGCCGCGGGAGCGCCCGGACCCGGCCCGCCAGCCCGGCCCCCGCCCCGGCCCCGGCGGGGGAGGGGTCTCTGAGCGCGGCCCCTCCCCCCTGCGGCCCCGCCTGTGCTGCGGTGCCCCCATCCCGCGTGTCCCTGTCTGTCTGTCCGTCCCTCCGCGCCCAGGCCTCGCCCCACCCGGCCCTGGGGCTGCCCGGTCGCCCCCATCCCCACCGCAGCCGGTATCCTCCCTCCCAGCCAGCCTCCGCCGCAGCCCGGGAAGCCGGCCGGGACGCCGCCACCCCAGACCCGGCTCTCTAACCTCCACCTCGGGGGCCTGCACCCCGAGACTGAACCGGGAGATCCGGAAACGCGAGCCTGGAACCCTGATCTGGGACCAGCACCCCGAGATCCAGCCGTGGAACCCCAAGACCTGGAGCCTGAACCCCAACATATGGGGCTGGAATCTCAAAATCGATTACTGGGACCCCAAGATTTGGAGCCGGAACCCTACAATTTGGAACACCGACCCCAATATTTGGAGCAGAACCCCAAGATTTGACATCTAAAACCTCAAGCCTAGAGCTGAACTCTGAATTCTGCGCCTGGGACCTTGAAATCTGGGACTGGATTTCCAATACTGTACCCTGGAACCCACTCTTGGGGACCTAAACCCTGGGATTCAGGCCTCAAATTCCAAGATCTGGACCGTGGGATTCCAAGGGGCCTGAATCCAAGTTGGGGCCCAAAGTCCTTACTGCAGACCTAAATGCCGAAATCTGGGGCTTGAGACCTCCCAATCTTGACTCAGCACCCCCATATCTGAATGCAGAACTCCGGGATCAGATCTCAGGCCCTAAACCCCACGTTTGGCTGCTTAGCATCCCAGCACTGGAGCTGGGAGACCCTGACCCTGAACAACCCAAACTGGACCCTAGAGGCCCAATATTTAGGGGTCTGGAACCCCAAGTATTAATCTCTGGAGACTCCGTTGCCACAGATTTCAGCCGAGTCAGGACACAGTCCCTCTACAGAAGCTTTGGGGACAGGAAAGGCATGACTAGATGCTCCCTCCAGAGCCCTGACCTCTGACTCCCTGGAGCTAGAACTCTGCTCTCTGGGGCGACTTCCAGCTCAGGTAAGGCTGCTGAAACCTCAAGGTGAGGAGGGGTTGGGAGGAGCATTGTGGCTGCGGGTCACCGTACCAGGTACCCTTTGGCACTCTTGGGGTTTCTCCAGAAAAAAAGACATTCTCCCATGGCCCCACCTTCAGCTCCTGCTCTGCCCTAAACACTCTCTCGACACTGGCCAGCCCTGCCCCTCCCTGACTCACCTCTCCTGCCCCAGTTCATGGGACCTCCAGGTCTCTGACCCCCACAACCCTTACAACCTTGCACTGTCTGTCCTGTCCGACCGTCTCCACCTGTCCGCTCAGTGGCCATCTCTGTTCCCCATTTCTCTCTCATTATCATCTTTGTGACACCCCTGTCCACAGGTCCTCTCTCCAGCCGCCTCTGCCTGCTGCTTCTCAGTGACCATCGCTGACATCTGTGTCCACTGTGCCTCTCTCTAATCATCATTCACCAGCTCTCTTGCCCTTTGTCCACCCCTGAATCTAAGCCTGGGTCTGTGACCGTCTCCATCTGTCTTTGACATTGCTGTCCACCACCCCTCTCCGGCCGCCTCTGGCCACCTTTCCCTTCTCTCTGGCCATCTCTCCCACTGCTCTTGCCCTTCTCCCACCCGACCCTAACTCCCAGTCTGCAACCGTCTGACCATCTCTGTCCACCTCTCCTCTCTCTCACACTCGCTGATGCCCTCTGCTCATCTGGAACATCTCTGACTGCCCTTCCTCTCTCTGATGACCTCTCACCATTCCAGCTGAGCAGCTGTCCTGGGCTCCTACTGACTGTCTGTCCTTTTCCTTCTCTCTGACCATCTTGCTGGCTTTGGGCCGTTTCTGACCACGTCTCTCTGACGTGGTCATCTCCCCCAGATCTGAGCCCACCCCACGCCCCTCCCTTCTCTTTGTCTACCACTCGTCTTCCTGACCATCTCTAACCTCTTCTCTGCTCACGTCTGACCACTTCTGATCATTCTTGCCACCCTGGCTGCCCTGTCTCCCCATGGCCAGCTTTGGGTGTCTCTGACCACGTCTAAAGCCCTCTGGTATTCCTGCCACCCACCCAGACCAACTGTCATTTCTCTGACAATTTCTTTTCTTTTTTCTTTTGGAGAAACAGAGTCTCACTCTGTTGCCCAGTTTGGAGTGTGATGGCGCAATCATAGCTAACTGCAGCCTCAAACTCTTGGGCTCAAATTGATCCTCCCACCTCAGCGTCCCACATAGCTAGGACCACAGGTGGGTGCCACCATGCCCAGCTAATTTTTTAAAAAATTTTGTATAATAGATACACAGTCTCACTTTGTTGCTCAGGCTGGTCTTGAACTCCTGGCCTCAAGCCATCCTCCCAACTCAGCCTCCCCAAATGCTGAGATTACAGCTGTGTGCCACCTCACCTGGCCTTCCTCTGGCTTTTGGTCACATCCGATGGTCGTTGACCAGCCCTTCTGTCCTCAATCCACTGTGACCTTCTCTCCTGGTCTCAGACCACCCCCTGCTCCTGTGGAACCCCTCTTCTCCCTTCTTCCCCACAGGCCGCCCCTGCCCGCGATGGCCATCCTCCCGTTGCTCCTGTGCCTGCTGCCGCTGGCCCCTGCCTCGTCTCCACCCCAGCCAGCCACACCCAGCCCATGTCCCCGACGCTGCCGCTGCCAGACACAGTCGCTGCCCCTAAGCGTGCTGTGCCCAGGGGCAGGTCTTCTGTTTGTGCCACCCTCACTGGACCGTCGGGCAGCCGAGCTGCGACTGGCAGACAACTTCATCGCCGCCGTGCGCCGCCGCGACCTGGCCAACATGACTGGCCTGCTGCATCTGAGCCTGTCCCGGAACACCATCCGCCACGTGGCCGCCGGTGCCTTCGCCGACCTGCGAGCCCTGCGTGCCCTGCACCTGGATGGGAACCGGCTGACCTCACTGGGCGAGGGCCAGCTGCGTGGCCTGGTCAACTTGCGCCACCTCATCCTCAGCAACAACCAGCTGGCAGCGCTGGCGGCCGGCGCCCTGGATGACTGTTCCGAGACGCTGGAGGACCTCGACCTCTCCTACAACAACCTTGAGCAGCTGCCCTGGGAGGCCCTGGGCCGTCTGGGCAACGTCAACACATTGGGCCTTGACCACAACCTGCTGGCATCTGTGCCCGCCGGCGCCTTTTCCCGCCTGCACAAGCTGGCCCGGCTGGATATGACCTCCAACCGCCTGACCACCATCCCACCCGACCCGCTCTTCTCCCGCCTGCCCCTGCTCGCCAGGCCCCGGGGCTCACCTGCCTCCGCCCTGGTGCTGGCCTTTGGCGGGAACCCGCTGCACTGCAACTGCGAGCTGGTGTGGCTGCGTCGCCTGGCACGGGAGGACGACCTTGAGGCCTGCGCATCCCCACCCGCTCTGGGTGGCCGCTACTTCTGGGCAGTGGGCGAGGAGGAGTTTGTGTGTGAGCCACCGGTGGTGACTCACCGCTCACCGCCCCTGGCGGTGCCTGCAGGTCGGCCAGCTGCCCTGCGCTGCCGGGCAGTGGGGGACCCGGAGCCCCGTGTGCGGTGGGTGTCACCCCAGGGCCGGCTGCTGGGCAACTCAAGCCGTGCCCGAGCCTTCCCCAATGGGACGCTGGAGCTGCTGGTCACCGAGCCGGGGGATGGGGGCATCTTCACCTGCATCGCGGCCAATGCAGCTGGTGAGGCCACAGCTGCTGTGGAGCTGACCGTGGGTCCCCCGCCGCCTCCCCAGCTAGCCAACAGCACCAGCTGTGACCCCCCGCGGGATGGGGATCCTGATGCTCTCACCCCGCCCTCCGCTGCCTCTGCCTCTGCCAAGGCAGTCGACACGGGGCCCCCTACTGACCGTGGTGTCCAGGTGACTGAGCACGGGGCCACGGCTGCTCTCGTCCAGTGGCCTGATCAGCGGCCTATCCCAGGCATCCGCATGTACCAGATCCAGTACAACAGCTCAGCCGATGACATCCTCGTCTACAGGTGCAGGGTCCAGACACTGGGGTAGCTTGGGTGGGGGAGTGAGGCAAGGGGAGGGTGGGGCACACCTAGGAATACCCCACACCAATGATACTGGAAGATATCATGAGAAATTTTACTGGAAGTTTCCAAAAGAAATCAGACAGCAAAAATAAAAGAAATCAGGCAGCAAGGATAACAAGAATCAGGCAGAAAGGGTCAATGAAATCTGACAGCAGTGATCAAAAGAAGTCAGACAGGAAGGACCAAGTAAATGAGACGGCAAATGTTAAAATAAATCAGGCTACAGGGCTAAAAAAGATCAAGCAATAACGATAAAAGAAATCAGGCTGCATGGGTAAAAAGAAATTAGGCAGCAAGAATAAATAGTAGTGGCGGGCATAAAAAGGAAAGCAGGAGTAGAAAGTAATCAGGCCAGAAGAGCAAAATGCTAATGGGCAAGGGCGGGTGGGGGGAGATAAGGGGATAAAAATAAATTTAGGTTGTAAAGATAAAGAGAGAAACTCCAGGTTTTCCAGATACTAGCCGGGCTGCAGGAAGAAAAGGAGATCAAACGGGAAAGCACAGGGAGCCCGGAAAAAATGAAATAAGCAGCCCTGTTAGAAAAGAAATCAGACCAGAGGTTAGAAGGAAAATTGCAGGGAAGAGGGTAGATAGAGACGGGGCTTCCTGTGTGTGTGTGAACCAGTCCACCTTTCAAGTTCTAATACGGTGACATCCAGATTTTTTTTGAGACAGGGTCTCACTTTGTCATCCAGGCTGGAGTGCAGTGGCACAATCTGAGCTCACTACAACCTCCACTTCCCGAGTTCAAGCGATTCTCCTGCCTCAGCCTCCCGAGTAGCTGGGATTACAGGCACCTGCCACCATGCACGGCTAATGATTGCATTTTTTTTTTTTTTTTGAGAAGGAGTCTTACTCTGTCACCCAGGCTGGAATGCAGTGGTGCGATCTCGGCTCACTGCAACCTCCGCCTCTCGGGTTCAAGTGATTCTCCTGCCTCAGGCTCTTGAGTAGCTGGGATTACAGGCATCTGCCACCAGGCCTGGCTAATTTTTGTATTTTTAGCAGAGACGGGATTTCACCATGTTGGCCAGGGTGATCTCAAAGTCCTGACCTCAGGTGATCCACCTGCCTCAGCCTCCCAAAGTGCTGGGATTACAAGCATGAGCCATCACACCCAGGGTAGATTTTTTATTTTCTAAATCAAGTCAAACCTAGTTCAAGTTCCTTTTGCCAGGTAAACAGAAATATCCAGTTTGCCACACTTGGGGTGGGGGTTCCCTTCTCTCTTCTGCTGTTGTAAACACAGAACCTGGGGTTTACAGTCTCCAAGAGGTGGCTCAGTCCAACTTGTCCCCCAAGCTGGAGAGCACTCAGCACATCTGCTGTGACCACGTGTTCAGCAGTGGTGGCTGCTGACCCAGGTGCTGTTGATACCCCTTGCCAAAGTCCACCCTTGCAAGGATAGACTGTGGCTGTGGGTGAGTGAGTCCGTCATCACAGCCAGGCTGGGCTAAGGGTGCGGTCCCCAAAGCCTGGCTGTAAAGACTGGACCTCCCAGGGCTGAGGTCTGTGCCGTGGGAACCCAGTACCTGGATGTCCTTTCCTTCCCTTTGGGCCATCACCTCAAGAAAAGGCCACTTGATTTCCATTTCAGTCCGGGCAACCCACTGAGCTCATTCTACTCCCTTTCTCAGACATGACTCAGAAGATTTCAGGATGGCCTGCCCCGGAAAATCACACAAGTCCTGGCCACTTTGCTGGGTGGGGAATGGGATGAACGCTTCCCTATACAGTCTCCCTGCCCCAGGCAGCCGGAGTTCCTCGTACCTCTCATTAGGGTAGCCTAGGAATGAAACAGGTGATAAAACAAGTCGGCCTGTTGCGGTGGCTCACACCTGTAATCCCAGCACTTTGGGAGGCTGAGGTGGGCGGATTACCTGAGGTCGGGAGTTCGAGACCAGCCTAACAAACATGGGGAAAATCTGTCTGTACTAAAAATACAGTTAGCTGCGCCTGGTGGCACATGCTTGTAATCCCAGCTACTCTGGAGGCTGAGGCAGGAGAATCACTTGAACCCGGGAGGTGGAAGTTGCAGTGAGCCAAGATGACACCATTGCACTCCAGACTGGGCAAGAAGAGTAAAACTCTGTCTCAAAACAAAACAAAACAACAAAAAAAAGTCAACTCTCCAACAGGGTGCCGGACTACAAAAGAAACTATAGTGAAATTGGGTGGTAAGAATTAAAAGGAAACAAGAAAAAGAGATAAACAGAAACCAACAGAGATCAGAGAAGCAGGTGACAGAGCTGGAAAGAAAGAAGGCAACAGGGAGGAAAAGAAGGCAGTAGTGACGGAGGCACATGAGTTTAATGAAAAGGGAATCAGACAACAGGACTCACTGGAAAACAGGCTACCGATACAGCCATAATAATAAGGCAGTAGGGCTAGAGGGACATTACTGGCAGGTTACAAGGAAGTCGGGCAGCTGGGGTCCAGGGAGATCAAGTGGTTCGATTGGAGAGAATCCTAGCTGTACACTAGAGGGAAATCAGGCAGCTGGAAGAGGGAAATTTGGCATAGGCTGCAGGAAATAGGGGAACCAGAGGGAAATTGGCAAGGGTCTGGAGGAGATTGGGAGGTAAAATGTGAGGGAAATTGGATGCAGGGGGCGGCTAGAAGACAAAAGGATTAAGTTAGAGCGAAATTGGACAGGGTTAGACCAGAATTGGGTGGTAAAGTGGAGAGATGACTGGCAGAGGGGCCAGAGTGAAATCAGCCAGAGGATTGGGGCAAAATTGGGCCGGGAGGCTAGAGTGGAGCTGGGCTGCAGGCTGGAGGGAAATTGCGCAGTTGGGTATAAAATGAAACAGCAGCCTGTTGAGGTGGCTCATGCCTGTATTCTCAACCCTTAAGGAGGCCAAGGTGGGAGGCTGGACTGCCTTGAGGCCAGGAGTTCGAGACCAGCCTGGGCAATATAGCAAGAGCCCGTCTCTACAAAAATTTTAAAATTAGCTGAGCATGCACACCTGTAGTTCCAGGTACTCGGGAGGCTGAGGTGGGAGGATGACTTAAGCCCAGGAGTTGGAGGCTGCAGTGAGCTGTGATCATGCCACTGCACTCCAGCCTGAGCAACAGAGCAAGACTCTGTCTCTAAGAAAACTGAAAGAAGGAAAAGAAACAGGATGGATTGGAAGAACTCACGTGGTGAGCTATTAGAGAAATTGGGTGGTGGGACTAGAGTGAAATTGGGCGGCAGGCCATGAGGACGTTACATTGGCCAGCAGACTGGAGGGATAGCAGTCGGGTGGCTGAATGGAGTGTCAGACCAAAGGGAATTGGGAGGGTGGTGAGAGGGAGCTCACTGGATAGAATGAAATGAGGCAGCGACGGGTGCGAAGTCTAGCCCAGCAGGGAGTTTGGTGGGAGAAGCACAGAGTGGGGGCTGGGCAGCCTGAGCTCTAACCCCCACCTGCCTGCCCTGCAGGATGATGCCGGCGGACAGCAGCTCATTCCTGCTGACGGACCTGGCGCCGGGCCGGACCTATGATCTGTGCGTGCTCGCCGTGTACGAGGACAGCGCCACGGGGCTCACGGCCACGCGGCCCGTGGGCTGTGCCCGCTTCTCCACCGAGCCCGCGCTTCGGCCGTGCGGTGCGCCGCATGCTCCCTTCCTGGGTGGCACGATGATCATCGCTCTGGGAGGCGTCATCGTGGCCTCAGTACTGGTCTTCATCTTCGTGCTGCTGATGCGCTACAAGGTGCACGGCGGCCAGCCACCCGGCAAGGCCAAGACTCCTGCGCCCGTCAGCAGCGTTTGCTCCCAGACCAACGGCGCCCTGGGCCCCACACCCGCCCCACCTGCCCCGGAGCCCACGGCGCCCAGGGCCCACACCGTGGTCCAGCTGGACTGCGAGCCCTGGGGGCCAGGCCATGAACCTGTGGGACCCTAGCCAGGTGCCCCCTGCCCCAATCTAAGGCTACTCTGGCCCCACGGACAGCAGGACCTGGACACCCTGTGGGACCTGGCCTCAGACTCACCAAATTGCTCATGGTTTTTAAAACTCTGATGGGGAGGGTGTCGGGGACACCAGGGCACAACAAGAAAGTCCTATTTTTCTAAGCTTGGGCCTAGACCCTTGCCCTCGTCTCTGTCTGTGGGGGTTGCGTGGCAGGACAGGGGTGTGGTGCTGGGGAATGCCTCCTTTGGGGAGAGAACCCCCTCCAAGTTCAGTCTGAGGACCCTGGATGAGACTGAGGATGGCGATCCATTCAGACAATAGATGTTCCCTGAGTGTTCGCTCTGGGCATGCCCTGGGTAGGGGGACACTGTGGTGACCCAGACAACCTGAGCCCTGCCCACAGGGGCCTAACGTCTCATAGGGGACAGACATGTCCCCAGACAGTGATAGCACAGAGTGACCAGGGATGTGGGGATGAGGGAGGCCTTGGGGATTGTGATAGTCCAGAAGAGGTGCCCTGCTCAGCCCCAGGTGTGGTCAGGGAGGGCTTCCTGGAGGAGGATACATGTGATCTGAGAATGACATCTGAAGGAGATCACTGGGCAAAGAGCAGAAGGAAAGCTCTTCCAGGCAGAGGGCACAGCACAAGCAAGGTGGTGGTGTGCCCCAGGCACTGGGGGTAGTATGATACAGGTGAGGCAGGAGGGCTGAGCAGGGTCTAGAACCTCCAGGCTAAGGAGTTCAGACTGTGGCTTGATGGTACTGGGGAGCCATGGAGAATTGTATGCAAAAGAGGGATGGGGTCAGGTTGGGACTTTTAGGAAGATCCTTCTAGTGCTATAAGGAGGGTGGACCCGAGGGGAAGACTGAAGCTGAGAAACCCAGGGGAAGCCGGGGCAGGGACCTGGGTGGGTGAGGACGAAGTTGAACCAGGGCAGGACTGGGGACAAGAAAAGGGAGTGGGTTGATCGAGACACTCCAGAAGCTGCAGGAAGCTGAGGGGCCATGGAGTGGGGCTGGGAGATGGTGGGGGCAGCCCTGATACAGGACCAGGGAGGAGGAGCAGGTTTGGGAAAGATGATATGGCCAGTGGGGAACTTGGTGGATGTAGGGGCCCTGAGGCTGTCCAGGGTGTGGCATCCAGGAGGCTGCAGGACTCCTGGTCTGAGGCTGAAGCTGGGAACAGAATGAGGGCTTTGTCAGCAGAGATGGGAACTGAGGCTGCTGGATTAAGATGGCTTCTTGTTGGGGGTGGTTCCAAGTCCCCACCATGGGACCTTTTTTTTTCTTTTCTTTTTTTTTTTGAGATGGGGTCTGGCTATATTGGCCAGGCTGATCCCAAACTGGCCTTCGGTGATCCTCCAGCTTCAGCCTCCTGAATCGCTGGATTACAGACATGAGCCACTGCCCCTGGCTAGGGAATTTCCATATGTAAGAGTGACGCAAAGAAAAACCTAACAAAGACTAAACAGGAAGAGCAGGCAGAGGAGCAGGGGGAAGAAGACCAAGCAATTCAGGCCCAAGAGACTCTTGTGTTCAATGATATAAATAAAGGCTGTGGTGACCCCCCCGGAGAGCAGTGTTAGGGGGTCGGTTAGGGCAGATGGCAGATTCAGCTGATTTGAGAGGAGGGGGTAAGAAAGTGGAGCTAGCAGGCGCAGCCCCTGTGATCCTGTGGGCCTGGAGTCTGTGTTGATCTGGAACTTTTGGCCTCATGTCTCTGGAGGGCGGGTCCTTACTCTGTCTTGGGCTGCCCAAGGCCCCTCGGGACACCACGCCTGGAGGTTTGTAGAGCTAAACCCTGGCCTAAAAGATCTTGAGCCTCCTTGGACATCCAGGAAGGGGGTTGGTAGTGAGAGGAATAGCACCCCCCAAACTCAGGGCTACTGATATCCCCACAGGCAGGAATGTGGAGGAACCTGGGTCCTGTCCGTTCTGGAGGGACACTGGTGTGAGGCCATGGTGAAGACAGCCCAAGACTAAACTGGCCCTTCTCATGACCTGGGGCACATGACTGTGACCTGAAGTCAGGTGCGGTCATCAAGAAGAGTGAGGGCATGAGTCTTGGGAAAGGGGTCTAGGAGCGGGGCATGGTGTCAAGCCTGTGGTCCCAACTACTTGGGAGGCTAAGGCGGGAGGATCACTTGAGCTCAGGAGTTGGAGTCTGCAGTGAGCTAGAATTGTGCCACTGCGCTCCAGCCTGGGCCACACAATAATACTCTGTCTCTAAAAAAAGAGAAAAGGTACCTAGGGAGTGAGGATATTGGGGGCCTAGTGCCAGATACAATTATCAGTTGCTGCCATGAGGGGGAGCCAGAGGGTACTGTTCCTAAACCCTTTTTTTTGTTTTTGAAGTGAAGTTTCACTCTTGTCACCCAGGCTGGAGTGCAATGGCGAGATCTCAGCTCACTGCAACCTCTGCCTCCCGAGTTCAAGTCATTCTCGTGCCTCAGCCTCCCAAAAGAGTAGCTGGGATTACAGGCTACTGCCACCACGCCCGGCTAATTTTTGTATTTTTAGTAGAGACAGGGTTTCACCGTCTTGGCCGGGCTGGTCTTAAATTGACCTCATGATCCACCTGCCTCAGCCTCCCAAAGTGCTGGGATTACAGGCGTGAGCCACGGCACCCAGCCAAACCTCATTTTTAAATGTGAGCACTCCTTACTGTGTGCAATGTGCTGGGGATTCAGTGCTGAATAAATACAGCTCAGGTGATGCCTTTGTACAGCTCACTATTTGGTGGCGACACAAATATTTTCTGAGGTTTATTTTTGTTAAAAGACACTCTCGGCCAGGCGCGGTGGCTCACGCCTATAATCCCAGCACTTTGGGAGGCCGAGGCAGGTGGATCACGAGGTCAAGAGATCGAGACCATCCTGGTCAACAAGGTGAAACCCCGTCTGTACTAAAAATACAAAAATTAGCTGGGCATGGGGGTGCACGCCTGTAGTCCCAGCTACTCGGGAGGCTGAGGCAGGAGAATTGCTTGAACCCAGAAGGCGGAGGTTGTGGTGAGCCGAGATCATGCCATTGCACTCCAGTCTGGGTAACAACAGCAAAACTCCATCTCAAAAAATTAAAAAATTTAAAAAAAGACACTCTCGCTATGGCCCCAGGCTGGAGTGCAGTGGTGCAGTCATGGCTCACTGCAGCCTCAGCCTCCCAAGTAACTGGGATTACAGGCGTGCGCCACCACATCCAGCTAATTTTTGTATTTTTGTAGAGACGGGATCTCACTGAGTTATCCAGACTGGTCTTGAACTCCTGGCCTCAAGTTGTCCTCCTCCTACAGTGCTGGGATTACAGAGCTGACCACAGATGTTAAATAATCATACCAGCAAGTGTAAGCATCTGTGGTGACCAAGGGGCGCCATGCAGGAGACAGGTACAGAAGTGTGCGACCCTGTAACCAAGGGACCTCACCAAACAAGAGAGATTGAGGAAGACTTTCCAGAGGAGGGGAGGCCTGGTCGAGACCTTATGGGTGTGCAGGTTGGCATTAACCATGCAAGGGGTGGGAAGGGCATTCTGTGTAAATGGAACAGCCTGTGCTGAGGGAAGCATGAGTGAAAGAGCCGAGGCCGGGGGGCTGAAGTACGGGAGGGAAGGCAAGAGAGTGACTTTGGGTCGAGGCTTGGGATTGGGAAGGGGGCTGATGATGCAGGACCCCTAGGCTGCTGGGAGGAGTCTGGATTGTCCTATAAGTGGCATGAGAAGCTGTTGAAGGGGTATTTATTTATTTATTGAAACATCTCACTTTTGCCCAGGCTGGAGTGCAGTGGCACGATCTCGGCTCACTGCAACCTCCGCCTCCTGGGTTCAAGTGATTCTCATGCCTCAGCCTCCCAAGTATCTGGGATTACAGGCCCCTGCCACCAACACATAGCTAATTTTTGTTTTGTTTTGTTTTGTTTTTAGTAGAAATGGGGTTTCACCATGTGGGCCAGGCTGGTCTCAAAGTCCTGATCTCAAGTGATCCATCTGCCTCAGCCTCTCAAAGTGTTGGGATTACCAGCAATGTGAGCCACCGTGCCTGGCCCATTGAAGGGTTTTGAGTTCTAATGAGAACAGTAGTCCCTGATCTCAAGGAAGCTCCAGGGGGAAGAGATACTGCAGTAGTCCAAGCAGAAGGGTGATCCGGACCAAGTTGGGGCCTGAAGTGGTTGAAGAGAGATTTGAGACTACCTGACCAGAGGCCTCCGACCCCTACCCAGCAGAGGACAGTGTGCCCTACTGTACAGCTACCCAGTTCTCCAGCAATATTGCAGAGAGACGGGAAGAAGAGCTGTGGGACGCTGGGCTCTGATATCCATGGCTCCACCCCTTAGATGGGAGAACTGACTTCTGCGTAGCATGGGGACACAGGGCCTTTTCCAGGCTCACGTAGCAGGCATGCAGTGGATGCAGACTGAGGGGCAGAGGCCATGGGTGGTCGGGGGAATGTGGACACGGGAAATGCGGGGCTGGAAAAGGGACACCACACACCCGGTGGTAGCTTATTGCAAGTTTGGAAGCAGAGTGGATGGGAGGAGAGCAGGCTGGTCCCTCTAGCATGAGTCCTCCATGTTCCCCCACAGGGTGCCTGGACCACCCCCACCCCCATGCAGAAACACACAATCACATGTCTCTAGGATTTAAAGTTCAAATTTTGCTTGTCAGCCAGGCACAGTGGCTCATGGCTATAATCCCAGTGCTTTGAGAGGCCACCCTGGGAGAGGATTGCTTAAGCCCAGGAGTTCAAGACCAGCCTGGCTTCAATCCCACGGACCCCCTGAGGTGCACTTTACTCTTCCCAGCCCTCTGGATAAAACAGCAGTTCTTTGGGAACTTTAACTTCCCCCAAAATGCTGTAGCCTGGCAGGCAACATAGGAGGACCCCATCTCTACCAGAAAAAAGTTAGCTTGTCCAACTGCCCAGCTAATTCCATCAATTTCCTGAGCTCAGGGAGTACGACTGTTTCTACTGTCCATTTCTCATCTGGCTTTGGTCCCGCAGATCTTTTAGACCAAAGCTCCGGCTGCTGGAGCATTTTCTTGAAGTCCTGGTAGCCCCAATATCAGGACTCTCCCCTGTCTGTGTACTGCCAGATCCAACCTTTGTGTCTTGGGGCGGCTACGTCTGACACGGACCCTGAGTGTCTGGGACACCTGTGATCTC